TTTTATATTGCTCATTATGTGTCAGCCATTGTTCTAAGTGTCTTTCTCATATAACTCACTTAATCTTCACAAAAAGTCATCCGCATGGAATAGAAGAGAAAATTAAGGCACAAAGATGTTAAGTGATTTGTCCAAGATCACATTGAATTAGCAGGGCCAGGACTTGAACTAAAGATGATTGACTTTTAAGTGCATACTCTTGACCATCTGAGATAGAACTTAAAGTATGGATAAACGTGACTGGGTGTGGTGGCTTACGCCTGTAATCCTGGCATTTACGGAGGCTAAGGCAGGAAGATTGCTTGAGGTTAGGAGTCTGAGATCAGTCTGGACAATATAGCAAGATCTCAGAGAATGTTTTTTCTTTATTTTAAAGATGTGGGGTACAATTCAGGGTTAGGTATGCAAATGTTCATTATGCAGGTACCCCTGCTGATGAGGTGTGCCCCTCCCTTCCTGGCAGTTTCCCTCAACTGCCAATCCCACCCCCCCTCCCCTGACAGTTTCCCACTACTGCCAATCGCTTTCTTATGGCATTATAATTGTTCAAGGTCCATTTATGAGTGAGAACATATGGAACTCTGTTCTTTGTTTCTGTGATAAATCATTGAGTATGATCGACTCCAAATCCATCTAGGTTGCTGCAAAGTCCATATGTTTGTCCTTCTTTATGGTTACATAATATTCCATTGTATATGTGTACCACATTTTTTTAATCCAGTCCAGCTTCAATGGGCAGCATGATTGGTTCTATGTTTTTGCTATTGTGAATAGAGCTGCAACAAACATGCATGGGCAGTATCTTTTTGGTAGAATGACTTGAGTTCCTCCAGGTATATTCCCAATAGGGGGATTGCTGGGTCATATGGAAGGTCAATTTCTAGCTCTTTCAGAAATTTCCACACTGTCTTTCAAAAAGGTTACACTAGTTTGCATTACTTTATCTCCTCATCCTCGTCAGCATCTAAACCAACAAAAAAGAGAACTACAGGCCAATATCCCTTATGAAAATAGATGAAAAAATCCTCAACAAGATTCTAGCAAATCGGATCAAAAAAATACATCTCAAAAATTATCCACCATGACCAAGTAGGCTTCATCTCCAGGATGGGTTTGTTCAACATCTGTGAGACCATAAGTGTAATTAAATACATCAACAGATGTAAAAACAAGAACCACATGATTATATCATTAGATGCAGAAAAAGCTTTTGATAAAATCCAGCACAACTTCTTGATAAAAATCCTCAAACACCTAGGTATAGAAGGAACATACCTCAAAATAGTAAGAGCTATCTATGATAAACCCACAGCTAGCAAAATGCTAAATGGACAGAAACTTGAAACATTTCCCCTGAAAACAGGAACAAGACAAGGCTGCCCACTCTCACCCCTCTTGTTCAACATTGCGTTGGAAGTTCTAGGTAGAGCAATTAGACAAGATCAGGAGATCACAGGTATCCAAATAGGAAAAGAGGAAGTCAAGTTATCCCTCTTTGCTGATGATATGATCCTATACCTCAAAAATCCAAGAGAATCTGTCAAAAACCTGCTTGCACTGATAAAGGACTTTGGCAAAGTCTTCGGGTACAAAATAAATGTGCAAGAGAATTTTTTTAAAGAATTTAATTTTTTGTAATCTGACAAAGGCCTTATACCTAGGATCTACAAGGAACTCAAATGCGCCAAAAGGAAAAAAACAAACAACCCTTCTAAAAAGTGGGTAAAAGACATGAATAGATACTTCTCAAAAGAAGACATACAGGCAACCAAAAGACACATGAAAAAGTGCTCAGCCTCACTCATCATCAGAGAAATGCAAATCAAAACCACACTGAGATACCACCTAACCCCTGTAAGAATGGCCATTATTAAGAAAACAAACAACAACAGATGCTGGAGAGGATGTGGAGAAAAAGGAACGCTTCTGCACTGCTGGTGGGAATGCAAACTAGTACAACCTCTTTGGAAGAGTGTGGCAATTCCTGAAAGAACTAGAAATTAGCTTTCCATATGACCCAGCAATTCCCCTATTGGGAATATACCTGGAGGAACCCAAATCATTCTATAAAAAAGATACCTACCCACTTATCTTTGTTGCAGCTCTATTCACAATAGCAAAAACATGGAACCAATGGTGTTGCCCATCAAAACTGAACTGGACAAAAAAAGTGGTACATATACATGATGGAATATTATGCAGCCATAAAGAAGGACAAATATATGGACTTTACAGCAACCTAGATGGATTTGGAGTCGATCATACTCAGTGATTTATCACAGAAACAAAGAACAGAGTTCCATATGTTCTCATTCATAAACGGACCTTGAACAATTATAATGCTATAAGAAAGCGATTGGCAGTAGTGGGAAACTGTCGGGGGGGGTGGAACTGGCAGTTGAGGGAAACTGCTAGGGGAGGGAGGGGCATACCTCATCAACAAGGGTACCTGCATGATCAATGTTTATATACCTAACCCTGAAATATACCCCACATCTCTACAATAAATTTTTTTTAATTTAATTTTTTGTTATCTAAAAAACAAAAATAAAAACAATGGATATGCAAATGACCACAATGAGAAATATAAGGATATTATAGGCAGAAGGAACAGAATGAACAAAGGCATAGAGGCAGAGAAATAGAGAACAGAATCAGGCCAGTGAGTAGAACGGGTTGAGTGGGGCTAGCAAGTTTAGGAGAAGTGGTGGGAGAGCAAGTTAAAGACCTAACTTGCGATCAAAGTGTGGAAGGCCTTGAAATCGTGAACGTCTTCCATGACTGATGAGACCTTTGAGATGTTCACATAGAGGAGGGGGCTTGTCAGAGCTGGGCCTCGGGAAGACTGATCTGGCTGCAATGTGAAGACTGGGCTAGAGGAGTGAGCCGGGAGCTGGCCCCTCTCCTCTGCTCCCTGGGCACTTTGTAAACCACAGAATTTGCCTGTGTGTCTCGCCCACTAGAGAGTGAGTCCGTGGAGGGGAGCTGAGTGTGTCATCCATCTCTGGCTGCATGGGCCAATAGATGATACCTTTAACTGCAAAACACAGTACAGCAGGGAAGGGGGGTGGGGGGTGGCAGGAGCAGTGGGTATGGATGCTGGGGCCTCTGCTACTGCTAACGCAAATAATTATGATACCATTTTGGAGTTCATTTGAAGGTGCCTTTACCCACATTTGCTGAACTTTTTAGCATAATAGAAACTTAGGATATGCAGATCTGTATTCTAATCTTAGCTCTGTCACTGGTCTTTGCAGGGGTTTGGGGGTAATTTCTTAACACCCCAAGCTGGTTTTCTTGCTTTTTAAAATAGAAATAAAAATATTTTACTGGTAATTGTTAACTCATGCTAATAGTTATCCAGCTCACATAAAGGTCTGGTATGTGGATGGCACTCAGAATGATTATGTCATTATATTCTTATTTAATTTTGTCACCCACTCCCCGTTAGGTCCCTGGTATTATTTTGTCCCATTTTACAGATGAGGAAACTGAATCCCAGGGAAAAGAAGGGATTTACTCAAAGTCATACAGTGGAGGAGGCTGGATTTGAACCGACTTTGTTAGAATCACAGCTACATGCACATCTCACACAGGAATTTGAAGCCTGAGGGGAAAAGGTTGGGACAAGCATGACCACACAGGGGGCAGGTGAGCAAGGTGGACGTCTAAAAGAGGCCTGTAGATCTTTGAGGAAGTGCGAAGCCATAGATTTGAAAATAACCAGGCTCTTCCCTGGTAGGCAGCCACGCACTGGGCACCGGCGGAGGAGGGGTCACTGCCTCGGAGGTGGATAAAAGCTTCGTCCCCGCCCAGCAACAGTCTTCGGCGTCCTTAGCGACCAGGCAGGGAGCTGCCGCCCTCAGGAGCCGGGCGCAGTGATTGGCCGGATTCCCGGGTCCGGGGCGCCCTGGTCTGAGTGCTTGTAGGCTTCCTCCAGGACAGTCAACGCCACCCTAGCGGTAAGGCCCCCTCCGTTGTCTCCCAGGGAAAAGTCTCAGGGCTCCTGGGCAGGAAGGGGACTTAGTAATCATATATTCTAGGTCTTCATGTGTCCAGACATGTTCCAAGAGGTTGCAGGTCCCGCTGGATGGGGGGACTGCCCTCGCCCAGCAGATCTTGCGTGCTGGGCACACACTCGTGAAGCTGGGGTCTTGGAAAGAACCCTGGTCTAGGTATCAGACTGCAGCGCTGGAAACAACTCTGCCCCTCACTCTCCGTGTTACCATGGTCAGAGAACGCATCCTCTCTGGGTTTTGGTTTCCCCTTCTGTAAAAGATCGTTTGGATTAGAATGCTTTCTAAAGGGCGTTCCGTGTCTGGGAGGCTTCAAAAGGGAGTGGCCAGCCTGTGGTCAGCTAGTTCAATAAACTGAGTTTCACTTGGCATCAGACCTGTTTCAACACCCATTTCAGATTCATTGGACTGTTGAGAAACAGATCCGTGACAACAACAAAAATTCCCTTTTCCTGTGTACAATCTTTCTTCAGATGCATTATCTCTTTGGATTCATCCCAAGTCCCTAAGAGCAGAACTGAAATTATCCTGATCTCATAAATAAGTGTGCTGAACATCAAAGCTGAATATGGAATCTTCATATGTCCCACTAAAACCCTAATTTCCTCTCTGACCTCACAAGAATCCCATCTGATGTCTTGTAGTACAGGCAGGTAGAGTCACCTAATGATTCAGTAGCTCTGCATTGCAGACCTCTTAGGTGAGATTCTCAACTCTACTAATTACTGGTTATGTGATGTAGAGTACATTATGTAGATACGTTATGTCCAATCTTGCAACTAGAAAACAAGAATGGAAACTAAAAGTATCTTACTTATTATGCCTTAACTAGGAGAATTAAATGAGATAATATGGGAGAAGTACTTTGTTCAGGTATTATTATTGCTGTTGTTAATGACAAACATGCTGCTGTTCCCTAGAGGGAAATCAAAAGGAATTATTTATTTTCAACTCCAGGGATTAGAAGAGATTTTGAGGAGAATCATGTCTTCAGCTTGGAAGGAGCCCCATGGATCAGATGCAATGCCTGAGATCATGGTGAAAATCATTGGAAGTAAGCACTTTCGATACCTTGTGGAGAAGCCAAAGGCGTAAGTCTGCTATTTGAAAAATATCTGTGTTTGTTGTTGGATGATAATGAAGTTTGGGGATTTTTGGGGGGTGGGGGGGAGGGGGTTGTTGTTGGAGTCTCACTTTGTTGCCCAGGCTGGAGTACAGTGGCCTGCTCACGGCCACCGCAGCCTCGATCTGCTGGGCTCAGGTGATCCTTCCACCTCAGCCCTCCAAGCAGCTGGAACTACAGGCACACACCACCATGCCCAGCTAATATTTTGATTTCTTGTAGAGATGTGTGAGATCTCACCAAGTTGCCCAGGCTGCTCTTGAACCCTTGGGCTCAAGTGGTTGTTTGTTTTTTTTAACCAGAAATTTAAATTTTAAAAATGCCATCGATAGAAAATTAAGTCATTAAGATGTAACAGTAGAAGTAAAATAATGTTGATAACTTTCATGCACACTGTGTTTCTGATATTTTTCATCTTTATAATTCCCTATACTCCTTAATTACTAGGGCTGATTTTCCAAATATATGGGAAATATGAGCACTGTAACATTTATAAGTATTAATGGATCATTGCTGCTTTTCCTCATCAAGTTTGTAATCTACCACATAAAGTAATTTTGGAGAGAGGGAAGTAAGAGGTTTGTTAGTCAATTTGTTGTGAATTAAAGGAGTGAGATTAATAATGAATCATAACTTGTAAGGTTTTCACTTACTCTTGTCTCCGTTTGATTCTCCTCTATGCAGGTTTCTCAGAGTATAGTTAAGATTTTTTTTTCCTTTTCAAACCCACCACAGTCACATTTGAGAGAGGATAATCATACATCTCTAACATTAACTAGATTTTTGGCACAGGAGGGTATGACTAGCTCTTTCTTACAGAGTTTTGGTGGCTCACAAAAGAATCAAAGGTATCAGACCTGCCTTTCTCGTAATAGGCATTCTATAAATAGTAGCTGATGAATAGTTCCCTTTCCCTCCTGAAATTATTATTTTTGCTTTATCTTCTTTTTTTTTCTTTTTTTTTTTTTGAGTTGGAGTCTCACTCGGTCGCCCAGACTGGAGTGCAGTGGCCACTCCCGGCCACCGCAGCCTCGACCTGCTGGGCTCCAGCGATCCTTCCGCCTCAGCCTTCCAAGTAGCTGGAATTACAGGCATGTGCTACCATGCCCGGCTGATTTTTTGATTTATTGTAGAGATGAGGTCTCGCTGCCCAGGCAGGTCTCGAACCCGCAGGCTCAGGCAATCCACTCACCTCAGCCTCCCAAAGGCGCGGGATTACAGGCTGAGCCACCGAGCCTGGCTTGCTTTATCTTCTATTTCAGAAATCCATATACTGAACAAATAGACAAACAAAAAAATATGGCATCACTGAATATAAATGCATAAAGCCACTTTTTACTAAACATGGCTGTTATCAAAATCACCTGGGAAGTACTTAAAAAATAAAGATTCAGGATCCTACTCAAGACTGATTGAATCAAAATCTCTGAACACAGGTTCACCAGGACCACTGTTCTGAAATATAATCTTTAGAATGTCAAGTTGGTTTTACCTCCTCACCATCAGTACTATCAGCCTAGGCTGGAGTACAGTGGCATGCTCACGACCACTGAAGCTCTCTAAAGCTCTCTTTAGAGAACTTCCAAAGTGACTGCTATAATCAGTTTAGTAATGCCAACCGTGGCACAGGAAGTAGGTTTTGCAACAAGTGATTCATGCATTTGGGATCCCTACAGCTCTGTTTCTGTCTTGCCTTTTGATGTGAATTAACATTTCTGGTCTCGATCTGTAAAGTGGAGATGAAATAGCACATATCTAATAGTAGGGTTGTTGTGGGGATTAAATGAGCAAATGCAAACAAAAGTATTTCAGTGCCTATTATATTCAATTTGCTTAATAAATGGTTCTGCTATTATGATCGAAAGCACATCTTTCCATGGATATAAAACATCTAATGAAAAGCCAAATCTCTTTCTATGAAATGTTTACCATACTGTTTTATATATATGCCTAGAATTCAGGTTATCTCTGCTTTGTAGATGAGGAAAACTAAGGCACTGTAATAAGGTGATTATTTTTAAATCTGTCAAATCCCTGTCACTGACAAGAAAAGTAAATAGGACTAGTTTGAACACCTGGCTCAGGTCTGCTACCTGTAAGACTATGTTACTGGTAATTCTATTTCTTTCACATTGGGTTTGTAATCGTCCACATACAGTAATTTTACTGGTAAATAGAGTAGTATAGTAAAGTTTAGACTTTTTTGAGGGGAATAGAGTTTAATATGTTCCTAAAAATAAAGGAAAAGGACTCTTTGTCCTTTTAAAAATAGTAAAAAATTGCCTTCATCTTATAAGAAGGTGTCTTTTTCCCTCCTGCAGTTATTTTTTAAACTTCAGGAGCCAGGAGATGAAAAGTATATTAAATCAGCTAAATTAATTATGAAATAAAAACACAGTTCTGTTTCTACTATGACACTACAAACATTGGTATTTTATTAAATATTAAGACAAGTGTTTTGTTTGTGTTTTCTTTAGACTCCGTGTTACTGTTGCTGGGATAACATAGGACGATTAATATTCTTTGCTCATATTATATTCTTGTATAGTTCAAAAATAAATAATTCCCAAAAGGCTTCTTGTTGCTCATGCATGTCCCAGAAACTTTCTCCCTTAAAGTATTTATACCCTTAAGCTGGGAGCTGAAGATGTTTTGTTTGGGTTGAATAAGTTGAGTCCATTAGTAAAAATCCATGTAACACGCATACGTAAATGTTAAAAAGAGAAAAGAAGCCAGGCTCGGTGGCTCAGCCTGTAATCCCATGCTTTGGACGGCTGAGGTGAGTGAATTGACTGAGCCCGCGGGTTCAAGACCCGCCTGGGCAACTTGGCAAGACCTTATCTCTACAATAAGTGGAAAAAAAAAATTAGCCGGGCATGGTAGCGCGTGCCTGTAGTTCCAGCTACTTGGAAGGCTGAGGCAGAAGGATCACCAGAGCCCAGCAGGTCGAGGCTGTGGTGGCTGGGAGCAGCCACTGCACTCCAGTCTGGGTGACAGAGTGAGACTCCAACTCAAAAAAATAATAAATAAAAATTTAAAAAATTAAAAATAAAAAAATAAAAAGAGGAAAGGAAAATATGAACTAAAAAAAAGCCAGGAATCAATAATGTTTAGCAAAATAGAAATCGGTTGGGCTCGTGGCTCGGCCTATAATCCCAGCATTTTGGGGTCCGAGGCAAGTGGATTGCCTGAAACCAGCCTGGACAACTTGGCGAGATCTCGTCTCTATAATAAATTAAAAAAAAAAAAAAATTAGCCAGGCATGGTAGCGCATGCCTGTATTTCCAGCTACTTGGAAGGTTGAGGTGGAAGGATTGCTGGAGCCCAGAAGGTCGACCCTGGGGTGGCCATGAGTGAGACTCCAACTCAAAAAAAAAAATAGAAATCTTCTGTGGTAACCACATTTAGCTCAGATTTCCTATAAGACATGGGTTAAAGATGGTATAGTATGTCAGACCTGAAAGTAACCTTTAAGTTATAAATCAAAGTATGAGCCTGCTGGAGCTGCTGTAACTATGTACCACAAACTAGGTGACTTAAAACAATAGAACTGCATTGTTTTACAGTTCTGGAGGCTATGGGTTCAAAGTCAAGATGTCCATAAAGCCATGATCCTTCCAAAGTTACCCAGAAAGGATCTCTCTGTCTCAGTTCTCTCTATTTGTTTCTGGTCGTTCCTTAGCAGTGGCAGCCTAACTTGAAGCTTTACATGGCCTTCTCTCTGTGTCTGCATCTGTGTCCAAATTTCCCCTTTTTATAGAGACATAGATAGTTGGAATCAGAGCCCACCCTACTTCATCATGACCTCCTCTTAACTCATTACATCTGTAGTAACCCTATTTTCAAATAAGATCATATTCCGAGGTACAGATACTAGGACTTCAACATAGGAATCTTGTCATGGTCACTGTTCAACCCATAACAATCATCCTCCCATCTTTCAGATGAGATGAGTTAACTAAGGTCTCTGTGGTCTTAAAGCAAGCTCCTGAAGTTTCAGGCCAGTTTTTAAGAACTAAGACTGGGATGGAGCTCTCCCTCCTTTTTTCCTTAATTTAATCAGCACAACTGTTCAAAGAGCAAAGGAAAATATTTAACAGCTATTTAGTATACATATTTTTCACCAAGGAGATCAATCTACAGGCTTCAAAGAGTGAAACGAGTGTCCCCTGGTTTGTGCTATCACCATTTTCTTCCAAGGTCACTATAACAACCTTCCAACTCAGATTCCTGTATCTAATCTTCATGTTCTCTAATCAACTCTCTAAAGCCTTACTCCTTAATGTGAATTCCATGGACCATCAGCATCAACCTCATCTGGAAGCTCATTGGAAACAGAACCTCAGCCCCTCCTTCGATATATTAAGTCAGGATCTGGTCTGATTCCCAGATGACTCCTATTTACATTCCAGTTTGAGAGAAGCTCCATTCTCAAGTGAGGTCCATGTGATCTTTCTAAAATACAAATTTCATGGTGTGCCACCACTACCAGCCCCAGATTTGCCTGGCCCACCTGGGAGGTCTTGTAACACCCTAAGAAATGGTTACGTCTGACAACTTCCTATGCATTTCTGTCTCCCTCGTTTAACTGTAAATCATGTGTGCATAACTATGTCCTTAGCACAGAGGATAAAGTCTTGTACATGCTGAAAGTCTATTAAATGAATTAGCACAACACAGATGCCAAGAAAAATAAAGATCTAGAAAGACAATACTTAGTTGCTTTAAATAAATCCAAGTCTAAAGGTTCATGCTGTTAAAATAGTATGCAGGTGTTACTCTAGAACACTGATGAGTAATATGCCAAGTGACAGAAGACAAATATCCTCATTTTAAAAAAGGAGATAAGAGTGAGCCATAAAACCACACAGCCAGAGGCTTGTGGACAATCCCTGGCAAAACTGTAGGTCAAAGAACTCAATATATTAGTTGTGAAAACAAAACATGAAAGTGATGTTACCAGGGGTT